AGTTGTTGGATGGGGATGTACGAAGATCTTTGATTTGGAGTCAGGTGTAAGCAAGCGATACAGACTGCCACTGCTTGGGAGCGAAGATGACGCGTGTCCTGCTTATCGATTGACCGACGCGCTTGCCCGCTTCCGTGCTAGACCGAACGCGTACGGCCGACGGTTGAAGGTTGTCCCGCGAAGTTTGGACTGGACGCGATCAATAGCTGCATCAACGTCAGCCGGATAACCATGGAACGCTCAGTCTCCACTCTCGACCATTGCCGTGTTCAGCTCCGGACATATTAGCTTACAGGAGTTGATGGGATGTGGAGGAGCTGTATCCGAGATGGTAATCCCCACCTACACAATGTCTCGCGAGCTTAGGTTCGGGTTAATGTTGGTAACTGTAGTCTGGAATCTGAGTATTGCGAGTTGGATATCGCGTATCGCTCTTTGCTAACAAGTCGACCGAAATCTTGACACCAGAATACCTAAAACTCACGACACAATGGCAGACGATTACGCTTCGCACTTCGGTGTCAGCAACATCCCATACGGTATCGCAAGCTCGTCGAAGCGCTCTGCACCACAGTGTACCACACGCATCGGTGACGAGGTCATCTTCCTCGCAGAGCTCGCGGAGCATGATTCCCTCAAAGCGATCTCAGCACCGCTATCCTCCATCTTCCGCGAATCCACGTTGAACACATTTGCTGCGCTGGGAAAAGACGTACAAAGTCAAGTACGCTTTGCGATACAAGAAGCATACAAGAGCAATTCACACGCCAATTTTTCAGAGAACATCAGCGATGTTACGCTCCATATGCCAATCAGTGTCGGAGACTTTACAGACTACAGCGCTTCCGCGAACCATGTTCTGAATGCGGGAGAAGCGGTGCAAGGAGTTCGTGCCTACCCACCTGCTTTCATGAAATACCCCGTGGGCTACGCAGGCCGGTCGAGTTCAATCACAGTCTCAGGGGCTTCCGTTACAAGACCTCTGGGTCAGTTCATCGAGGACTACACCGTTCCGGAGAAGAACATCATATTTGGCCCGTCACGGGGCTTGGACTACGAGATGGAGATTGCGGCAGTCATCGGCAAACCTGTTCAAGCTGGATCTTATCTAAACGCAAAGGACGCGGATGAGCATATCTTCGGACTAGTTCTGCTGAACGATTGGAGCGCGAGAGATATCCAAGGCTTAGAGATGAATCCGCTGGGGCCTTTCAACGGAAAGAATTTCATGACTTCAATCACCCCTTGGGTCGTTACGCTAGAAGCATTGAAGCCCCACGAGGTCCCGGCCCCGCCTCGCATGGAGCCTGTAGCTTCCTTCATGGACGATCCCAAGAGCATCAACTACAACATCCAGCTTGAAGGTCAGATCATCCGAAACGGTACTCAGACTACAACCTGCAAGGTTGGCTTCGAGACGATGTACTGGACCTTCAGGCATATGTTAGCGCACCACACTATCGGCGGCTGTGGACTCCGCACGGGAGATCTGGTAGCTAGCGGGACAGTGTCGGGCGAACAGGAACATGAGCATGGATGTTTGCTCGAACTGACTAAGAACGGCAAGGCTCCAAGCAAACTGAGCGATGGATCTGAGCTACGCTACCTCAATGATGGGGACGAGGTGCGCTACACAGGCGTTGTTGGAGATGGAAGCACTGGTGTCGGGTTTGGAGTATGTGTTGGCACAGTGAAGCCCGCCCGGAAGGTTTAAGAGCTTTCGGATGCAAGTAGGCTGAGCAATCGTGGTCTATCTTCTGGGTGGGTTGACCAGTGGTTGGGTAGCGCCCTAGTTAATAATTGGTCGGCAAGCGTGGTACAGATGCGAGTGGCTGCATACTACCACCAGAGAGATCATTGAATTCAAGCCTTCCAATGAATCTTCGGTCCTTTGGGCCTTGCACATTGGACCCTAAATATCTCTAGCCACACGAAGCCCAGCCTCGTGAGCTTTCTCGCACACAGCCCTTGAGTTTCAGCTTTCATCACACTCCTTGACGCCCTCAGATATTGCACCTTCAACTCTGCGTGAATTCTCCTCAACCCATTGCAGTCTCTCAACCATACGGAGGCCGGAAGAGACTGTTACACATGTGCTTCGCGCACAGCCTACCTAGGTAACCGTCTGCAGGGCTGAGCCAGCTTTGGACTCTGCGTAGACACAGCAACCACAACCATGGCAGAGTAAGTGCGATACAACCTTGCTCGAAGTGTTGCATGTTTACAATCAAGTCTTAACATATCATCCAGATTCTCTCAGACTTACCTGCCGGATCGACCATCGAAGCTCGCGTTCGGGAAACGTCTTTCTCACAAGTTCAAGCCAAAGAAAGGGAGACCCAAGCAGTCGATAACCGAGTCTTCTCCCGTCACGCCTAATGCCAGTCATCCTCAAGTTGCACTGCCAGTGTCTTGCGCGCGAGAACCACATATGGCTGACCACGTGCGCACGCGCCGGATTACGTCACAGCCCGCCCCACGATCGCTTCTGAAGACTCGTCCACAAACACAACACAGCGAAGTTGTCCAGCCTGGAAGAAGTCTCAGCATCGCTTCGCTTGTGCTGCCCGAGCCACACCTTGTATACCCAATCTCCGCGCAACCATCTTCGTACGATCCCTTACAGTCGGATGAACAAGGCGACGTGCCCCGGATACATAGGAAGGAACCTCCACAGTTGACAGTGAGAGACGCACTCACCGAGCAGTGGGGGAAGCTGCGACTGCCGAATGTGCCACTCGCACCTGCCGACTTGTCAACGTCTAGTAGTGCAACAAACTTCTCACTTCCCCTCCAATCTTCTACCTCAACCAAGACCGTAGCTGCCAAAGCAGCATGGAACAGAATGGCGGTCTCGAATCCCATCTTGCCGAGCTTTCGAGAGGAGCCGCATTCACAAACGACACAGCCGGGTGTGAACCGCCCTCGTCAGGGCCAGACACACAGTGAGCCCATAATGATCAACGATGACAGTGAACTTGATGCGACTGCAGGCTCGAACCGCCCTGGAGGCAATTTCGAAAACACAAACTTCTTCCAGTCAGGCGGATTATCACGACAGTCGCTGAATCGACGACGAACTCGAAAGGCGAGGTTTCTACGAAAGAGGCCTGACCATCGATGTCAAAGTCCTGATTCATCGAGCAGTGGCTCTGAGGATATGCTAACACCCGATAGCTCGGAAAGCTCAGAGAGTTCGGAGTTTGACCTCGCAACTTGTGTTGCGCAAATCGAGAACCAGACCCCAATCCGAGCTACTAGATGTACACGCGGGCGGGGCTTTCCGCGGGGAGATGCAGATTACGGAGCTCAAGAAGAGCAAGACCGTCTGTTGGCTGAGCGTCTGCAATGGGAAGAGGATGCGACCTATCAAACCACAGCGTCGCGCATTGCGGAAGGGTCTGAGTTATCTGCACCTCGAGCTGCGTCTCCTCGGGTACCGTCTCAAAAGAGTGGACGATTGGCCAGTTTGCGGCGGGCCATTACCAACATCGGCACACGAGAGCATCCTATCGATCTAGACCCCGAACCCGACGAGCCCAAAGTTGTTGCCCCCAAAAGAGCGCGAATCCAAGACTATGTGGCGCTGTATGGAGAGCCTATGGATATTGATGGTGCATCGCCTAGTCATCAATACAACGCAAGGCTGGTCGATACGCCACAGGCTACGAGCACCTACGTAGATGAGAGAACGCATCTGCGGAGTCGTGATTGCGTCGTCTGCGGCGATAGCGTTCATGTTGTCGACCTACCCTCTCTTGCTGAATGCGATCATCGACCGGAGACGTGTGCGGACTGTTACTCAGGATGGATAACCGCGCAGCTCCAAAGCAGTAGTTGGCGCGAAGCCAAATGTCCAGGGAGCAAATGCGAGACAGTGCTGTCATACCATGAGATCCGGCTATACGCGCAACCGGAGATCTTCCAGCAATACGACACATTCATCGCCCGAGCAGCTTTCAGCGAAGATCGTAAGTCGTAGCAGCAACCCTCTTAGGTTTCAAAAGCTGACAATGGCACAGCCAACTTCCGATGGTGTCGAGCGTGTGACTCCGGTCAAATCCACATGAGCGGTGTCGAGGGCAATATCTTTACATGTGTAGCATGTGGACACAAAGTCTGTATCATCCACGAGAACACATGGCATGAAGGCGAAACTTGTGAGGAGTTTGAATATCGATCTTCTGGTCGCAAGGAGCGAGACCAGAGAGCACAAGAAGAAGCGAGTCTTCAAGCGATCGGGAAACTGACCAAGAAGTGTCCCGGTCCCGGATGTACGTGGAATATTGAGAAGAATGATGGTTGCGACCACATGACATGTAAGTTTCGCGTTGCTTTAGACGTCAATGACCGCTTGCTGACTTTCATAGGCTCGAAATGCCGCTTTGAGTTTTGCTGGATCTGTCTTTGCAACTACAACAACGTCAGAAGAGTGGGCAACTCGGCCCATACGACGACATGCAAGTACCACACAGGAAGACTGGTGTAGCGGTGGATGGCGGTGGATTTCATTGTAGCGAACTTTATACTTTCGCTAAGCACATGCTGGTCCTGGGAACTTCTAGCATCAATTAGCATTCGGGGTACTTACAAAGATTACGACGTCATGTCACTCTCTCAGACTTCACGTCGCGACGTCAGGCACTCCACTGCAAAATTACATCCGTATAGCGCGTATTTACCAGTAGCGTCCCATGTTGATGTCACGGACTCGGGCCCTGCGCGCTCCGATTGGCGCAAATTACCCCTAGCCCTGAGCAACTCCCCGAATTCATACTACTTGTCAACAAACACAAAGACTTCACCGCCGCTTTTTGTGCCATTGGTGATTCGCGCGGTGTACATAGCCTTTATGATCGTGCTGTGACGGCATTTGTACCTTTTTCAGCGGCAGTTCTTCTACTTCATATCTTGTCATCTTTGCCAAAGATTCGGCTTCATCTTTTTCGAGTCTGAACCCCTTGAAGCAGCGCGTCGCCACACCCGCACCTACAGTAGCCATGTCAATGCGAGTGACGCGGTCGCAGGCCGGCAAGACGCCCCAGTGAGTGAATGCCAGGTCGCGCGTGCATACTGTGCAGACATGTGCATTAGTTGCTGACGTGCATAACGCAGAAAGCCTGACCGTCCTGGCTTTGTCGAGACCCCCGGGCGCAGAAAGTCGCAACGCAAATCGCTTGCGTCCGATGTCGATGACGGATACGAATCAACGCCCGAGCCAGAGAACTTCTTGAAGCCACTCCGATCTGGCGACAGCGATGTGAAGCATGAAGTCGAGGAAAAGAGCAATGGCCATGCCAACGGAAACGGACACGCCAACGGCTACGCGAATGGACACACGAATGGAAACGCGAACGGGCGCACGAAGAGCGAAAAGGAGATCGTCGAGCTGGACTACAAGATGGAGGCGGAAAAGTTCTTCTCGGCAAAGGACAAGTCCGGCCTACACGAGTTCGGAGGCGCCATTGGTATGGGCAGTATGATGATCTGCTTCCCAGCGCTCATGTACTACATGTGGATCGGAGCGACCTTCTATGACGGCAAATTCCCTACACCGACCGCGGGCCAGAGCTACGGCGACTTCTTTGGACACATGTGGTATCTGGTAAAGACCGAGGCGTTCCCGAACAACAAAGCGTGGCAGATCTACTGGTTCTTTGGACTCATGCAGATGGCCTTCTACATGCTCATGCCGGGTGTCTACCGCAAGGGCAAGGCTCTGCCTCATCTTGGTGGAAAGCAGTTGGACTACTACTGCTCGGCCATGTGGTCTTTCTACTCCAGCATTGTCATCATGCTGACCCTCCACTTCACTGGTGTCTTCAAGCTGTACACTCTGATTGACGAGTTCGGCCACATCATGAGCGTAGCCATCCTTTCAGGCTTCCTCTGCTCGACAATCGCATACGTCTCAGCTCGCGTCCGCGGCGCTGACCTTCGGATGACTGACAACCCCATCGTCGACTTCTTCCTTGGTGCGGAGCTCAACCCCAGGCTCTTCGGCATTCTGGACTTCAAGATGTTCCTCGAGGTCCGCATTCCGTGGTTCATCCTCTTCTTCCTTTCGCTCGGTACCTGCTTGAAGCAGTACGAACAGTATGGCTACGTATCCGTAGAAGCCATCTTCCTGCTCTTTGCCCACTACCTGTATGCCGGCGCCTGCGCAAAGGGAGAGCATCTCATCATCACAACCTGGGACATGTACTACGAGAAACTCGGCTTCATGCTCATCTTCTGGAACATGGCTGGTGTCCCTCTATCGTACTGCCACTGCACCCTGTTCATCGCCAACCACCACCCATCCGAATACCAACTCCCCACCTGGTTTACCGCTCTCCTCACCCTTGCCTACCTTGGCGTCTACTACATCTGGGACACTACCAACTCGCAAAAGAACCAGTTCCGTCAAGAGGAGCGTGGTGTTGTCGACGAGCGCACTACCTTCCCTTACTTCAAGTACGGACGCATCGCTAACCCCAAGACCATCCAGACATCGCACGGCAACAAGATTCTGGCTGACGGCTGGTACGGCAAGGCGCGTAAGATTCACTACACGTGCGATTTGTTCTTCGCAATTAGCTGGGGTCTTATTACCGGCTTCAGCAGCCCGTTCCCATGGTTCTACTCCGTGTTCTTTGCGGGTATGATCATCCACAGGGCGCTGAGAGATATTGAGAAGTGCCGGGAGAAGTACGGCGAGGCATGGAAGGAGTACGAGAGGCAGGTGCCTTATTTGTTCATTCCGGTAAGTCCAACCTATCGTACCCTGACTGAATCATCGCTAACATATCTACAGTACGTGTTTTAAGTACATACCGGACCGTTGCTTTGATCTTTCACCATCTCGCGAGTCTTCGGACACCTTTTACTTGACGGGACCATTTTGTAGTATACCATAGCATTCTTCTCGCATTTCGACGGTCGTGGCTAGGGCGGGATAGCATTGTAATGGTTGTAATGGCAGTAATGGCAGTAGTAATGTATGATGTAGCAATTAGCAGACAAAATTGACGTGACAAGATGCTCCCACGGATCTCTGTAAGCACGCGAACCCCTACGCGTGCCAAGCCTTGCGTCAGCGTGCGTGCGGGCCAAAAGTTCAGACCCTCACGCCTCGTAACCGCAAAGTGTCCTCCCCTCCCAACCCAACCCAACAACCCGCCCAAGTCGCCCTCCCAGCGCACCACCACCCACCATGGACGCCCTCAAATCCGCCATCCAACCCATAACGCACAACCTGCCCCAACCCATCGCCGACGTCGGCATCTCGCTCCTCGGCCCCAAATGCTACAAAACCCTCATCTACAACGTCGACATCACGGCCACGGAATGCGTCAAACTCGCCATCTCCAAGGGCCTCGGCATCGGCATCATCGGCGCCTCCTCCATCGTCAAGATCCCGCAGCTCCTCAAGCTGCTCAACTCGCAGTCCGCCGACGGCCTCTCGTTCCTGTCCTACCTCCTCGAATCAAGCAGCTACCTCATTAGTCTTGCGTACAACGTCCGCCATGGATTCCCGTTTAGCACGTATGGCGAGACGGCGCTTATTCTCGTGCAGAATATCGCTATTGCGAGTTTGGTGCTCAAGTACAGTGGACGGGGTGTTGGTGTCGCCGGATGGATTGGGGGATTGGCGGCGGCGGGCGCGGCGCTGTTTAATGACCAGTGGGTTGATAATGAGAAGTTGAGCTTGTTTCAGGCGACGGCTGGGGTGTTGGGTGTTGCGAGCAAGGTGCCTCAGATTCTGACGGTGTGGAGTGAGGGTGGGACGGGCCAGTTGAGCGCTTTTGCTGTAAGTCTTCTTGTTGCTACGATACAGGAAATGGATTTTGTGGCTAACATGGTTACAGGTGGTCAATTACCTCCTCGGATCTCTGTCTCGTATCTTTACAACTCTTCAAGAAGTCGACGACCCACTCATCCTCTACGGCTTCATCGCTGGTTTCGCCCTCAACGCTATCCTCTTCTGCCAGGTCGTGTACTACTGGGACGCGCCCGCGACCAAGAAGACGGAGTCGAAGAAGTTGGAAAAGCCCATCGCGGCTGACAGGAAGGAAATGGCGCGTGCTGTCTCGAGCGGTGCTACACCTTCGTATGCGAATGCTGCGGGCAAGAGTCCAAGCACAAGACGCAGGGGATAGGCTCATTCCTCACTGTTGCTTCTTTCTTGGGGATGTGGGCTGTTGAATTAGTAGTTGTAATACAGACTTCACTTGCGCGACGTCTTGACCATGCTTGGGTGAAGATTACACGTATATTCAATACACTAACATGCTAACATATGCTTGGTCGCATGTCTAGAAAAACAACTCCGGGCGTTTTGCTAAACAAGGCTTTTCGTATTCCTGTCAAATCTGCTGAGGCGCCGTACTTATAGCATGTGGCGGTGGCATTGGTGGAGCGCCTCTGCTATCCGCCAGATCTCCCGTAGGTGACATCGTCCTCTGCTGGTTTGGTATGATGGTATTGACTGGAGGCGGTGGTGTGGGTACTGGGGAGAGGCCCACTGGCGGGTGGTATCCAGTGTCTGTCAACCTCCCAGATACTGGGTTGTACACGCCAGTCCTTGCTTGCAACTCGTAGTTGTCGTCATCTTCTGAAGACGAATAATCGTAGGTATCCATTTGACGTTGGCGCGCGACATCTACTGCGAAGGGATTCGTAGCCGGCAACTGGTTCTGGTATGTGTGCACCTTCGACGTCATGGTGGACCCCATCGTGCCGGTTCGGTAGTTGCTTGATGCCGCTGTATCGCTGCGATCAACGCCATACTGCGACCCTGATTCCTGGCGTCTGCGTTGCGAGTTGTGGATCTGTTGGCGGAAGACGTTGCCCGTGTGTTCGCCGCTACCTTCAGGCACTGCCGTTGTAGAAGAGTAACCAGACGCCTCTCCGCGTTCCTCGTCCACCGGCTTGGCCATGCGCTGCAGCGGTTGTACATCGTCGTCGACCATGATCGTAGGCTGCGGTGGTGCGCGCGATGCCTGACCCCAGGCTCGAATTGGGTATGCGCGTCCCTTGCGCCATGTCTCGGAGACAGGAGGGAAGTATTGGCGGTAGGAACCCCAGGACACGAGTATGCCGAGTAGGGCGCCGGACAGGACGTCGAATGGGTGGTGACGGGCATCCATAATACGGGTTCCTGTGATCAGAGCAGCTCCAAGTGCAGGAACCATGACGAGGAATGATCTCCAGACCTCGCCCTTTGCATCGAGAACGTGTAGCTTTCCGGCGAGGTAGATGGAGAGGTAGAAAAGACCGGCGAAGGAGACTGGAGGGCGTTAGTAGAGGCTTTATTTGTGCGGTTATATCGCATACCGCTGCTGTGCCCAGAGGGGAAGCTCTTGAAGCCATCTTGTAGAATGTAATTGTCAGTCTGCTTGCAGATGTCGATGGTTTGTAATGCGTATTTTTCAAGGTTGAGCTTGGTTTCATCGACGATGCAGCGGCTGATCAGATCCGGCCGCGGCTTGCCAATGGCGTTCTTCAAGGCTCCCGTGATGGTGAAGGCGGCGCCAATGCTCAGGCCAAGGCCAAGGATGCCACAGTTCAACTCCCACAACCGATCCTTGAATCGATATCTCCCTGATAGGCGCTTGATGCCAGCCCTGCCTGCGGGCATTGTCGTCTGGTGTGAGAAGAGCCCATCGATGACCATGGTGTAGAGTGCGATGACGGCAGCGGGAGCGAGGATAACGTAGACGCATAGCCACGGGACGGGTACGCGCTCATGTTCGGCGAACGGGTAGTGCAGGGTGTAGTTTTCGAGGGCGAAATGCTGGTGGAAGGGCGGGATCTTATCGACAATGGTGAAGGTTATCATGAGAACACTATGGCTTTGTTAGCCGGATCGAGCTGGGAAGGAGGTCGTGTGACGCGGAGAGGGTGGGCTTGCAGTATGATGAGGTAGTCGCCAATATATCTGTGCTGGTCAGTTTCTACTACTCTTATGCATGCATAGTCGTACGCACGAGAAGATGACCTTCTTGGGAAGGCGCTTCTTGGAGAAGGGAAGGCGCTCAGGGAGCTGTTTCGACGTCCAGTCGTCCATGATGCGCTACAGGACCCAGCCAATCGCGGATGCTTCGTTGCGGTCTCAGACTCAATGGCAGTCGACTGCTCTAGTATCGTAGTATTGAACTATGCGAAAATGTAGGCGTGAATGTTCTCGGGGGTCCGCAAACGACGGCACCAGACATGCGACCCTCCTGGGGGATGGCGCAGGGGCGGAGAGGAGAAGGAAAGGGAAATGCAAGGACAGCGAGAAGATAAAAGACAGTGGGGTTGGTCAGAATGCAGTGGTTGTCCCCGGGTCAGCAACGCCGTGGGCAGGGAGGATGTGTAGAAGTGCAGGGCCGACTACGCAGCGTCTCCGTGCTCAGCTTGTGGCTGTGAGGATTGAGCTGACGCGCTCCCAGACTTGGCTCACTCCACAGCAGCAGGGCTAGCCGCCTCGAGATCAGCGCCAATTCAACTCGGCCTTGGTACGCGGAGCATTATTTCACGTTACGTCGCGATAAGGTTCGTGTGATATGCATGCGGCAGCGTCTCTAGTAAGGCCGGCCGCATGCACGGCAGGCGATGGCATCCGAACCGAGCTGTAAAAGAAATACGGTATGGCAACAATGGGCCTGTTCCATGTGGCGCATCCAGCGGAAGCGGCGATCGCTTAGCGCCATGGCGATCAGCTTATTCTTCCACCGCCTCAGGGTCCGACTCTCTACATCTATTCCTGTATCGCCATGTTTTCCTTATTCGCCAGCGAGAAGCCCCAGCCCAAAGCCGCCGAGGTTGCCATCCAGAGGGTCTCCAACATCACCGCCACCCAGCTGTCCCGCTTCGAGCGCCTTCCCAAGGTCCAGCGCTATGCCATCATAGGCGCTGCCTCTGTTGGCGGACTATCCATCCTATGGGCTTTGACTTCATCTTCCAAGTCTGCCAGACGGCCTCCGATTGCTTCTCCCAGGGATTCCCTGCTACCGGATCTGTCTCCCGAAGGCGCTGCAGAACTTCCATACCATCCAGCTGCACTGCCCGGAGCCCGCGATGTCGATTCACCTTGGGGCACTATCCGCGTGTATGAGTTTGGCCCCAGAGATGGAGAAAAAGTTTTGCTCATCCATGGCATCTCGACTCCGAGCATTGCCTTGACTGACCTGGCTCACAAACTGGTTGGCAGGGGCCGACGTGTCATGCTTTTTGGTGGGTCCTCCTTGCTGTCACTGCTAGTCTTTGCCCCATCACTTTCCTCTTCGCTGTTTCAAAGCCGTGAAACCAAACACCGTCTTCCTGAACATAGAGAAGATGGTTTTTCTGCGCAGTTTCTATGATCGCCACATCTGCATGCCCCACGTTGAACCGGGCGTAGGACTGTGTCATGGGGTTCCTTGCTTTACCCGTTTCGGCAAGGCACCCGCCAGCCCTACCAACGGTGAACCACGTGCACTGCAGATGCGATTACCGAACTGCATCGTAGACAGTCCGTGCAATGCTACAAAATTATTATACTAACCATATCAACAGACCTCTTTGGTCGCGGCTACTCTGATGGCCCTAACCCGGACACAACCAACTATGACTCCAGCCTCTTCACCAGCCAGATCTTGCTCGCTCTACAATCTTCGCCCATCCACTGGTCACATTTCACCATAGTCGGCTACTCTCTGGGAGGCGCCATCGCTGCAGACTTCACATCGTACTTCCCCTCGCTGGTCCGCGGGCTCGTCCTCGTCGCTCCTAGTGGGCTCATCCGCAAAAACCGCATTTCCATTTCCAGCAAAATGCTCTACAACAGCTCCTGGATGCCGG